CGACTCGACTTGTCCAGTGTCATGACGTTGCTAAATTAAATAACATATATTAGATAGCGATTTTTTTTTTTTGTAAAAATATATAAAACACGTATTAAAATCAAACTTACATATCCATCCAAAATATATATCGCTATATAAGACTTGAACCAACGCATAAACTCCAATTTTTTCGGCCCTCCCTCGCACGGACCCTCCAAATACGGCGGACCATCCAAAATTGGAAAATTTACGCCACGACCACATTTACGTGCAAGCTCACCACCATCATGAACATCGTTGCCGTCATCATTAGCCACCATCTCCTCGTCATCATCGTCGTCATCACTAGCCACCGTCTCATCGCCATCATCGGACGCATAGTGCAACGGAGTACGAACATGACCGACTTGAAGATCATCGGCAATAGGTACAGAAGGCCCGACTCCGACTTGCAATAGCTTTTTCCCTCGCTCTCTTCGCTTCTTCTCTTGCCGTCGCTTTCCTACGATCGGATGCAAGAACTCCCTGATCTCCAATACGATCCGGATCATCCGGATTGTTCGACTTCCCACCCAAAGCTTTCATTAAACTCTTACATTTTCCTGCAACTGGACTCATTAAACTTTTCCCTCTACCCTCGGTCATCTATAATTTAACAGAAAAAATGAATTAGTATTTAATTAAAAAAATAATAATAACAAAAAAAGAAAAAAAATTAAAGTTGCTCGTGTGAAGACACGCGAGCAGATCAATTTTCACACGAGGACAATAGATCTGCTCGCGTGTTTTCACACGAGCAACAAAAAAAAAAGTAAAAGTAAAATAAATGGAGTTCGTGTGATTTTAGGCGAGCTCGATGAACTGAGCTCGCGTGGTTTGACACGAGCACAACCGTCCTGTTCGCCTAATAACACACGAGCTCCATTTTTTTTAATATTTTTCAATCAAAACATACGTATTTAAAAAAAATTACATTCATCTACTCGAGTGGTTCTACACGTGTAACTCCACTGTACTCGTGTAGAATCACGCGAGTACTACCAGATGCTTTGCTTAAAAAAAAATTCAACAATCGTAATCTACGTAACGCAACAATTAAAAAAATGTAGAAATTACATCCGATCTGTTGTCGTCTCAGCGGGGATCTGAAATCGAACTCCAAAAGCTTGAAAAAGTTTGTGAGAATATTTTCGTTTTGATTTTTTAAAAATAATAAAAAAAAAGTGCCTGCATGATTAAATTGTACATGCACAAATCATTTCAGTTTTCTAAAATAAGATATATAATTTTATATTCCCCTATATTTAGATCGTTCACCTAAAACACCTCAATTATGTATATTATTATGACTGACGGCTAATTATTTATAACAACAGATTCATTTTGGGATAGAAAAAGGTACCAAATATTGGTTATGTATTTAGAATGTGATTGAAGCTCACATGGTTTCTGAAAGCACCGAAAAAATTCAATTTCTTGATTTTGGACATTTGTGATTTGGTTCCCATGCCCCAACAAAATATGCGTGCCTAGAGAAATTTGGGTTCAAGTATTATTAAATCCACATGGGCATAGTCTCGTCTAGTGGAATTTTATGTCCTTAGTTTCATATGTTTGTACACATGGTGTTGTTACAAAACGAGAACAACCTGTGTGAGATTAGGCGACAAGTAGCATTGGATCCGATTCTTATTCTTATGTATGTAGTCATAAACAATACATATACATGGTGTGCAACTTTGATAATTCTAATGATTAAAATGTCCGATTTATCTTTGAAGCGCCTCGTCTTAACAATAAAATAATGTCGTTGATTTTTCTTTTTCGTTTTTTTGTTCTTAATTTTTTTTATCTATCAAATGTCAAACAGACGGCCACGGTCCAAAAATAACCTAGCCAGAGAGAAGTAAACAAATATAACCCTAATGGTTAGTCGAAAAACAAGGTTGTCGGAAAAGCCTAACCGGGGCTCCTTCGAACCCTACACCCAGTGATAAACATCGGGTGGGACTTATGTTGCCACGTGTCCTTTTTTTTTTTTTTTTTTCTAAAATCCCTGAAGATAGACCCTAGCGAGGGAAATATATTATAAAATACAAAAAAATACACGTGGCAGCAGAAGACCCACCCGGTGTAGGGTCGAAGAAGTCCCTAATCGGGGGACCTCTCCACTTTGTGAACTATGGGTTACGAAATACAGAGCCTTCAAAATCGATGTATTTCACTTTTTTTCTTCTTCATTTTCTAAATCTAAATACAATAATTAATATCACAAATTATGTTTTTGGAATTTAATGAATACAAATTGTTAACGGGCATTTTTAATAGGTGCATATTTGGAATAAATAGATTTCTTGCCAAACAACACATTCATACATAAAATGATTCTTTCAAACAACATGGTTCAAGAAAATATTCTCAATGGATATAAATATAGAAAATTCATGCAAACTCTGCATTAATTGGAATAGGACATTTAAGAAAATTTTCCATTAAAATTTCTTGTCGAAATTTGCTCATACATTTTGATCTTGTCGTAGGCTTCGAATTTGTGCAAATATTGAAGCAATTGACTGCTGTATCATGAGAGATCATCAGGAAAAACATGTTGCGACATAGACAACCCAAAAATAAAACATGTTGCGACATAGACAACCCAAAAATATTGTCTTAAGTAAGAACATTGCTCTTGAAAGTCTAAGTCGATTTGTCATTTTCGTATCTTCGATGTTATTTCTATTTTCATGTAAGTACAATTCATCACGATTATTATATATATACCAAAAAAATTTACATCAAATATTCTAGAAGAATCATGCTCAAGTGATTGAGATAATTTGTTGGTTGCTCTGAAATCGTTTAAAACTTATATGATTATTATTTTGGGGTAATTTCATTTTCCTCCCTTGTATTAATATGAAAATTCCACTTATCACCCTTATACTACCGAAACCTTCACTTACTGATACAAACCACGCCAATCATGTGACGAGACCTGATATTAATACTTCGGATATCAAATCATGGACCGTCCAAAAGAAGGAATTAAAGGGTGAACCGCGACTGGTTGCCTATAAGCAGGCAAGAACCAGGGTATGCGAAGACGCCACAATCAATTATGGAAGATTGATTGATAAGTTAGGGGTGAACCCCATGGAGAAACTCCCATAAATTCATAAAAAATAATGGTTCTTGAAGAACCGAAGAGAAAATAATTTCAATTTATTTATCAAAATTCGTTTTCAAATAAGTCAAATTGGCAACCTATTTATAAATGCTAAAACGACTCCTTTTTCAGAAGGAAAATGACTCCTAACCTAAACTATAATAACAAAACTAATGAATAAGTAAAATCCTAACCATAAAAGACTCTAAAATAATAAAAACATAATAAATATTAAAATAAAAACGTTAATAAATTAATTAAATAACTTGATTATCAAGTCGACTTCTCGATCACCCTTCTAAACTCGTGTAGACAGTTGGCACGTCCAAGAACTTCTCGATTTCGACACTGTTCCACTTTGAATCTTTCTTTGGTCATCTCTTTGGTCAGAACATGAAAGTTGTAAATCATGCAGTTAGCTTTCTGAATCATTGTGAATCACCTTAAATGGACTTTGGAAATGAGAGATATAAGACGAATGGTAAACTCTACCAAAATGGTACGGTACTTTCGGGATGCAAGAAATTCCCAACGAATTTTCCTTTTCCTTTTCCTTTTCTTCCAATTACAAACCAATGAATCTTCAAAGGCCTGATTCAAGCATTTATTCTTCAATTCCAACACGAACGACTCCGTTACTCTCACTCGTTTTGTCTTCTTCCAATTCTTCATCTTAGAGTTTGCTAGGATCGTATGACTTACCCCCTACCCTCCCTTCCCGAATCATATGTTATATCTATTATACCCTTCTTTAAGCTAAATATATGTCCTTCTTTATAGAATATGTTTTATTATAAGGGGTCATTAGCAATAAACCCCTCATATAGATAATAAATGGTGATATGTTCACTCCTTAAATCTTTCTTTGTGATAAACCCCTAGAATTTGTATTTCCAATTTTACCCTTATGTCAATTAGCATAATTAGTCTCAATTATTCCCTTTTTCTCTCTTTCCATAACAATAATCTAATTCCTAAAAATCTGCTTCCAAATTCCTATAAATTTGCTACCAAATCAAAAAAATATTTTATTTTTTATTTTTTATTTTTTATTATTTTCGGATTTTATAGTCATTTTTTAATTTATTTTTATTTTTTAATATTTTTCCTAATAAAAAATATTTTTTTTTAATTTTTTTTTCTCGACAGATTTACAACTCCGAATATGACTACAGTTGAATATGGCTATTATGTGACTACGCTATTATGTGACTACGCTGTGTATAATAGTGTAATTAACATATTGTAGAAGCATAATTAGTGTAATTAACATATTGTAGAAGCATAATTATTAAAGTAATAGTAAGAATATGACTATTATGTGAATGTGACTGTGTTTTGTAAAACATTATAATTAACAGACAATAGAAGCATGATTCTTAACAAAAACAGGAAAAATATGACTATTATGTGACTACGGTTTGTATAACAATGACTGAACATGACAGTGGGAATATGACTATTATGTGACTAGGTTATGCGTAATGTGACTACAAGTAATCAGCACTTGAAAAAACTTACAATAGCAAAATACATTGCCAAAAGAAAAAAAATGACTAAAAAAAACAAAAATAACTAATGTGATCTCCCATCGAACATGTTTTTTTGTTGCGGTATCCAACTCGGTTGCACCGACTGCAATTAATCTTCCGTTTGATCTTCTCTGTTAAATATGACTACATCGTTAAACATATGCAGCACTACAAAAAAAAAAGGAGAAGGCGGCGGCAACGAACGGCGACGGTGATAGTTGTGTACAAATCTAACCCAAAACCCAAACAACATGAAACACGAAAAAAAATATAAATCACAACTCTTATCATGCAATCCAATCCACAACTGTCAATGCATACAAATGCATAGATACATGCTCTAGGATACGAAAAAACAAAAACTCACAAGAATTAATGACATGCATGATAGTTCAAATCTACGCATTATAACAAACCAAATTATAACCATTGCAGATTTACAGCAATGCCAATATAGTTTTCATGACATTATAACCGTTTTAGCTAAGGAAAAATTATAATTTTCTAAAGCAGCATAACTAAAAATTTAGGGCGGTCGGAAGATATACAGCAAATTAATTCGAGAAAAAAAAAATTATAACGATTAAGTAGCAGATCTTCAGCAATTGTGGTTTTGACAAAGGACGACGACGGCTATTTCGACGGAAGAGAACATGGGCGGCGGGGTGTAATTTCTAGATCTCCATCGGTGTCCTGCCGCTAGTCCTTTGAATCCTTTACCATCTGTGATTGTCGATTCCAGCCGCCGGAATCTTCTGAAGCCT